CTTTGATGGCGAAGCCAGGTTACTGAGGCAATGCAGCGCCCTCTAGCCAACCTAGGGCCGTGTACATAGTTCCCGTCCACCTTTTGACGGTGTCTGCCTCCGCGCACAAAAAATGAGATGGGCATCGCTGCCTACGCCGAAGGCCAGAGGCCCGCGCATCTACATTTTTTCGCCTGACCCCATCAGTGCCGACCCAACTACACCACCACGCGCATGCCTCGCGGCGGATGCGCAGCAGCAAGAAGGTTTCGGTCATCCCTTGAGGGTGAGTCTAGCCCTGCTAGCCAGAAAGACCCCCCCCTTCACTACAACCCATGTCTAAGCAAAAGCTGTGTCTGCGCGCCCTAAATACACAGCAGACTCGAGCCCATTTGGATCTTGTATTCTAATATGTACTTGAATCTGGATGTGAAATCAAGATGCGAAAGTTCCGTGTAGACAAAGTACGAACGACTTGGTCGAACGCAATGAATAGTTGACGATAATTTCTTTAATTTAGGAAAACGTCCTGGATACAACAGAGTTGTTGCATGTAACCCGAGGAATCGCCGGTTGTTTGCCAATTCTGCCGTCCCTGGCTACCCTTTCCCATTTTCTCGGGTTTGATAGCAACGTTCGTGTAGAGGTGCGGAGGAAGTTTCGAGTCATGGCATCTACGATCTCAGGTGACTAAAGCCCCAGAGTCAGAATAATTGTTGTTTTGTTGTGATGATGACGTCATAACAAGCTTCATAAAGGGATATTTCCGAGTCAGGTCCCCCTCTGTTTTAGTTTGCACTCGGGGCTGGATGAACTTCTTCTATGTTGCATCCCGACTGCACCGCGTACATGACAGGCGGAAACAAGCAAGACGAACACAGGATCTGCACAGGACAGTAGCATTTGCCAGTCCCACACACGGCACCAAGCAAGGTGATTGTGGTGAAGAGGTGAAATCAGTCAACACGTCACGTGTACGCATCTCCCTCTTGTGGTGTGCGTCGGTGACATGCATTAATATGCATGTGCATACCAAGTCCCT